AACACTTGGGATCTACCAACTTCTTAGGCAACAGGACTTGCAGAAAAAGTGAAATATGGGGTTTGTGACATTTTGTGGCTAGCTGGGGAAGCCCAGGAGTATGAGCATTGCTGTGGCTGATAAACTTTAGACATACATACCCCTGCATTATTGACATGCAATGGCCACAGCCATGGGTGTAAGGAAGAAAGTGTAGTCTCCACGTGTCTTCTCACCTTATTAGTGACGTTACCTTCATAGAAATCTTTCCTCACCCTTGTTATCTTCCTCAAATTAATGCTTTCAAAAATACTCTTTTTAGTTCTAGACACTTTGATGTCAAAACATTTCTTCTGTGAATTCTCAACCAGTGCTTCTGGGACGGACCATGGTGTGACTTACAGGTGGGGCTTTTTGCCTTAAAAGGAGAAATGATGGAGTGTTCTTCCATCCGCTATTAAAGCTTGTCAAGCAAGAGAGAATTTTGAGACATCCAGCAGCCTTCTAAGGCTTACTTCAAACTCCTAACCCACAGGCAATGAAATGCAGAAGGCCCCATATAAATCCTAGTTCTTCAGCTGAAATAAATCTCCCAAGTGTGTATTTACCATCCCAGCTTCAAAAACTAACATGAACAAGCCAGGCACCTTGTCTACTTCAGTGAACCCGGCACCAAATTTAATATTGTACCAGGCCAAGCAAGCGTAAAAAAGCAGAGCAAACTGATTCTGGTCTCCCAGCAGCCGTGCTTTTCTACTGAAGGAGCTTTTGAAGTTTTCACTTTGCAACATGGAGGCATTAGATTATCCATCATGTAGGGATGTGCACTGACACTAGAAACAGTAGTAGCAAGTGAAACATAATTACGGTATGTTATCACTGATATACTTTCTCTCCTCTGCCCTCATTGGCACTTCTCTAGCAGATAAGTTCCTTAACCAGCTGCTGGCAGCAGAGAGGTTTTTCTCCCCCAACTTTACCATGCCTTCTTCTTTCCTGCAATCCATCTAAGAACCTTTGCTTCTTTAGCCGTGAAAAGCATCCCATGTGAGACTTCTTCAGCCATTTTAGAGCCTTGTCTCACTACAGAGAAGATAGTGTTCTGTTCCCACATCTGCCCACCCCTCTCCTTCCTAGGCAGAGAGCTCTCTCGTGCCACATGCTAATGCCTTAGAAGCATTACAGGAGCCTGCACCCAAAATAGGGTCTGACTGCAGTTATTAACCAAATGTAGATCTAGACAGATCTAGTTTCAAGTTTCTTTGAAAAAGCCTTAAAGATGAAGCTGAAGAATTTTTGAGTGCTCCTCTTTATTGAGAAGTTTACCTCACACAGTTGTCTCACAGTTTGGATATTTTAAACTGGCTGTTGACATGACAAACAGCAAAATCACAGCAAAGTCACATAGAACATATAGACTTATTGGGGTTGAGAAGGATATTTAACAATCATTTAGTCCAGCCCCATCCTTTGAGAAATTCCTTTGACCAACTTAGAAGCTGTTGAATTCTCGGGTTTATGCATGGTATTTCCCTAGCTATCTATTTCCTCTAATTTCCGTAACTGCACACTGGAAGGATGTATTCTCCTCAAAAGACTCTTATCATAGTGCCTAAGATTATTATCTGTGAAAGCAATGTAAACATGAAGTAACAAGCATCCATCATATCTGCTGTGAGATATGGTCTGTGGGGTTTGGTCCAATAGGAAACAAAAAGATTTGGTTGTATAAAGAAATACAGTGAATTTAGATACTCTGGAAGTTGTGCTAATGAAACAAACATAGAAACTTTAAATGAGCTGTCTGAGCAACGAAAGAAATATTCATCAAAGTTATATTTAGGATATAGGCATATCTGTGTCTGTGGCTTGTGTCCAGAGCTCATAGGACCCTTCCAGTTTGTTAGATTGAACTTGTATTTTAAACAGTTTAGGTGAAACAGCACTTGAGAGATAAAATAATTGCACAGCAATGCACACTTTCATGATTAAGTATGACCTTTATTATAGAAACAACAATAATAGAAAAATAAAGAGTGTCTTCTCATAGCAAATTATTTTCTAGCAATCACATAGCAAGCTAGAAGTGATCAACAAAACCACCTTCATACACTCAAGATGCCTATCTACATCTCCCTCTTTCAACCAGAATTAACAGCTGTTATTTTAATTTGTCCACCAGAGAGCAAAAAGAACTGAAAGAAAATAAATCTTGCTTTATAAACTCCTTGGTGATTTGGCTAAGTATGACATCATCACACCCATGGGATACCCTTGGTCTACCTTGGGTGTGCAAGAGACCACAGTGAATGGTCTGGGGTGAGAGTTGCATCAAAGGATCAGGATGCTACATGGACGTGCTCCCCTCCTAATCTGTGTGGCCCCACTGTTTCCTGACCAGCACATGCTTTCCAGTGAGTTAGGCATAACTTCCCTAATGGGGTACATCATATCATCATTCTGGTTCAGGGATGGGTTGATCTCAGCCTGCAGTTGGGGGAAGAAGTGAGGTGGGGGTGCTGAGACCAACACTGCTGGTCACTCTGGGACCCAGCTGCAACTTTGTCTCCCCCCTGTGCTCTTCTCTCTACTCTCTGGGTACATGGGCTCAAGCTGACTATATGAATGGTTTTGGCATGCAGATTTTTAGGGCAGGTTGGTAACTCACTGTTCCAAGCAGTAAGCAGGTTGTGAACAAGTGTCTGACTATGGCAAAGAGCAGCCCTGGAAGGGAAGCAATCTGCCAGGCTTAGAAAATAATATTTTCATTTACATCCATATCAACAGGAAGCAAAAGAAACTGTCCACTGCTCCCCATGATGTAACTATTATGGCTCACTTAGTATACAACTAGTTTATCAGAAGATCCTCTCCTTTGTGTGGTGTTTTTTTAGGAATTTTTGCTCAAAATCTTTTCTCAGACAAGATGTTTAAAGACCAATTACACCTATAGTCTTCCCACTGGGAGGAGGACCTTAGAGCAACTCCATTAAATAAAAAAGTGCCAGCCAAATATCTTCCTAAATTCTGGCAGAAAGTAGAAGTCAGCTGTAAAAGCTACACATGGCAACTCAGGGAGCTGCTGGGCTGTCTAATTCTCATTCAATGCTAAATTCAGAGAGGCAGCACTCCGTGCTATGCTGGCATGCTGACACACCTCTGACACAGGCTACTTGTGTGTTTTGTGATCAGTAAAGGAAGTGATGGCATGTAGCCTGACCTGCAGGTGAAAGAAAGGCTGAGTTTAGTGGCTGGGATCTCCTGATGCAGTAGAGAATTCTCCAATGGATCCTTTACCGCTGTGAAGCACTAACCTCATTGGATTAATTTTGCTGCATGTTGGCAGCATTTCACGGGAGTATCCAACTGTTTCATCAGTTTATGCCATGAGCACTTCCCCCGTGCTGTTTAAAGCAAGCCCAGAATGTTATTCATCTAGAAAGGACAGTATGCAGCTTCATAAAACCAACAAATAATAGCAATAAAAAGCATAAAAACAAATCAGGTAAACCTGAATCCAAACATTGCTCAATACCAAAGTTTGATTCACTATAGAAAGAAAAAAGTGTGGGGGAAAAAACATTAACCTTGCATTATTGGCAAAAGTGCCAGAGGGCATCACAAGATTAAACACAGAATTATCAGTCATTAAGAACAGTTTTCGCTCTTCATGTTGATATCATATGTTAAAAGACTGAATATTAACATAAAGGGATTTTTCAGTACAGAACATCACAAGAAAATTCTATATCCATATCTGTAGAAGTAACAAACTCTATAGATCATGCAACCTAACAACCCAAAGAACATGTGAAATAGGTTTTAGTTTTGAGTGGGAAAGATATCTATTGATCTCTAGTCAGAACATCTTAGGGTCAGATCATGTGTGGTGCTGAGCTTTTTATGCAGTGTTTGTTGCTAAAATGTCCACATGTAGCAGTTTGGGACAGTAACATCACTACTGAATACATAGGCTCGCTTTCAAATGGAAGCTCTTCATAGAATCAACAAAGTTGGATGTATTTACCTTTCCTGCTTGACATGTTATAAATTCTCTTGTTTTAAAAAAGTGAATGTTTTAATCAAGTACAAAAATTTGCTTTCTAAACAATAGATTAACAGTACTAACTAACCCTAAGAACCTTATTAAGAACCTTATTAAGATCTTATTAAGCCCAGGGCCTGAACCATGCCACTGAGTTCAGTGGGCTGCTTGCCCACTAACAGGGGACGAAGGAAGAAGAGTGAAAATAAGCTAGGTAAAGTTCACTGAGCAATATTAAAAGTGCTGGAGCCTTTTACAAAACAATAATTGAAATATTCAAATTTAAGGTTGAGTATTTGGCTGAATACAGTTCAAATCACTGTATCTGTATTAAAGGCTTGAAAGTTCAGTATTCTGTTTCTTGTTCTACTTTACCCCATCATCATATTCAACTGCCTCCCTTGCTCACAGCTGGTTCTGTGCAGAAATGCTTCAAAATTGTCTTTATCTTTCTTACTTATCAGTTTGTTCAGACTCAAAGAGACCATTTCTGGATACATAATTACTTCCACAGCTACATATTCTGTCAATTATGAAACAGCATGACCATGTTTCCTGCTTGAAGGAGATCAGCATCTTTCAGTAATTGACGGAATGGACAGATTTCTTTTTTTTCTTAATTTAAATAGGTAAACTCTCAATGATTAAACACTAGTAAAATCTCAAAACTATTTTAAAAATATTTAAGGGAAATTAAACTCACAAGATATCATCATCAGTTTAACCCAGTGAAAATCCAGTGAGGTTCCACCACTATTAATAACTGGTCAGGATGTGGGTCATTATTTGTGCAAATTAAACAGTTCCCAGCATTTCTACTTTGTTTAGATCCAGATTCAACTGTCAACAAGGATTTTTTTTCAGATTACTTCAGTCTGTCTTTTTTTTAATGGATGCCATTCCACAGTCCTTTTCCAAGCAAAACTTTAACTGGTAAAATTTAAGCCATTACCCTGACTCCTAAGGGGAAGGTGTGCTCTTATTTAATATTATTTTCTCTTTTGGCAAATTTTCAGATATGATTTCTTATAATTTTGATGTTCTGCAGTGAACAGATTGTGTGGTGCATGCACGTGTGTCCTTGTGCACATTTGTGCATACGTTTAGCTTTGTAAATGTTTTGTGACAAGGAGATTTTTCCTTGTTACAGCAAAGAGCATCAGCTGAACTTAGTTGCAAAAGCAAGTGTGATGCCTTTATCACTTGCTTAGCAGGAAATAGACTACAGAGTGAATCAATTAGTGTTCTTTAAAACAGCTCCAAATTATTTCCATATGAAAATTTAGCTCCTCAGATGTAAGGATGCTGAGTAGCATTCACATTGGGCAGAGAGTTTGTCCAAGGGTTGTGCATGCTTTTATTTCCCACAGAAGTCTTGATCATACCACGTTATAGTGGATTTCTATTTGTTCATGGACCTTGTGCAGATCTACTGCAATTGTGGCCACTTAATCCCTGGCATTTTCAGTGACCATAGTATCTTCCTGGATTAAGAGAGATCACAGTGCTGCTGCTGTCTCAGTAGAGGGAGTTACAAAGTTCAGTGGCAGGCACTGAATCAGATCTTTGAATAGGTGAAAGGGGGTGATTTATGAGCTCTCACAAGACCACAAAATATTAAGCTCTTTGAATTTATCATGCAAAATCATCAGCCCATGTGTCACAGTGTTTTCAGACCCTCATGTTAGTTTTCTCCACATTGTATGGCAAACATGTTGCAAAGGGATGCTGTGCCTTGAACACCAATTGACAAGCAGGGCAACTTGGCCTGATGTGGCAGACAGATGCAGTTTCTGCCTCCAAACTCCCGCCCAGTTCTGCTGCATACCTCAGCTGCTTGTCAATCAGCTCCTGAATTGTGCAGTTTGCAGGAGAACATTTCAGGATAAATTTACCATTGTCAGATCGCTCTAATGTGCTGTGCTTTATGAGGCTGCAGCTCAGGAATTATTGACAAGAAGTTCAGACATTTTTGTAGCAGTGCTGAGACAAGCAATGAGAAGTGATAATTTAGGCACATACTGGTCAGGAAGCCCCTGTATGACCTCAGCTGGGTAATCTCTTACTTGCATCCACAGTCATTGCAAACTGGATTTTTTTTCCTAAAAACACTGCCTCCAGAATAAGAATCACATATTAGTGCTCTGTCCTTGTCAAGGGCTTAATAGGAAAAACAAGGACTTTCAAAATGTAACCCTGTTACATACAAGACTGGTGAGAACTTGCAAATGGAAGTCACACACTTGCCTTGAGACTTCAGCATACAGTGTTCCCACAAGGCTTTCACTGAGCTCTTATTCAACAAAGTTGTCTGTAGCTGTGGATCTCTGGTTTAGTCACTTGAAGGTTGTGTTACTGGAGACATCTATTTTAATAAATCTAAATGCTATCTCTAACAAACCTGATGGATTTTCTGGGGAATAGTGATACTGCTTGCTTTAAGCTATTTTTTGCATCTGACTTGGATTGTATGAACTGCCTACTTTGTTGATAATATAAAGAATTTAAGCTCCTCACTTTGGTCCTCTGAACTACAACTGAATTAGATGATAAGAATAGCCTAAAGCAGATGGTGTGAGTTCTCTCCTTCCCACCTTAAAGAAATCATTTCCAGAAATATTAGCTTTAAAGACATGGTGTCATCCCTTAAAATCACTTAAAAATGTGGCTTCAGGGTAGTGAGATTGCTAGGTAGAAGCTAAAACTCCTGTGACTTCTCTACTTGCTGTGTACATTTGGAAGCACAAGTGCACCTCAAATACGTTCATATCCTCTTTGTGGCTTTCTTCTGGAAATCAGGAAAGTGGCAAACACGACGACTAACAATCCCAGGATACTTAGGCCCACTGCGATGGGAGCCACTTTGCTGTTTTTATCAGGAAAACATTCTTCTTCTGAAAGTAAAAGCAGGTCAGGAAATATGTTACAGAACAATGTACTCCTGGACTATACATCTGCATTCCAGAAAAGATAAAAAGTTGGCAAATACAAGGCAGAATTTCTCAAAACCTTAGTTTTTTGGTTTCTTTTTTCGTTTCCTCTTTCTCCTTCCTGAGCTTTACTTACTACACTTTTATCTGTAGTGAACCTTGCCTAAAAAAAACAACACTCACCCCATTCAAAACAGCTACATGCTTCACTGGAGAATGACTCTGCTCTTTCATGTCTGCAGTAATTGTTTTACCACCAAGACCAGTACATACACATGTAGGAGTAGGAGGCTTTCTTTCTGCTAGCAGATGTGGAGCATCCCACTACAAAGTGTAAGTCTGAAAATAAAGAGCAAGGCATATACTTCATGGACAAAAACTGTTCCTTTTTACCATCTAATGGCTTCTGCCCAGTAAGAAGAGTCAGACCAGAGAAGGGAGCCCAGCACATCGCTGGTGCAGCAAGGATCCTAGTTAAGTCAGTATTTCCTAAGAAAAATCAAATTCTAATTGTTCTCTGTGTTTAATTCAGGATATTTGTGGATAACTGTGGCTGAGAACATCCAGAGATGCCAGGAGCCTTGGACTTAGTCCAGGGGGTTGCTTTAGTAGTACCATTGTAATCTTATTGCACAAATGATAATATCAGAAAAAGTTTTCATAGAATGTTTATGATTCTTTTTTTTACACAAATAATATTTTTTAAGAACCATCCAAAGATATACTCACTCTAAACATACCTGTTAGCTACAGAGGGGGAAAATACTGACTGTCTCAACCAGTCCCTACCCAAATGAATATTCAAGTTATCTTCTAATTAAATGGAAACTCATTACTTAAAAATCAACTTCCAGCCTGGGGTAAATTGTCAGCTTTCTTATGGAGAGACTGCAACATCTGCATCACCAATATAAACAGAATATTTATGGAGTGACAATGGTAGAATCAGTCTCAAATTCACAATACAGCAAGTGTAGCCTTGGGAGTGAAATCAAGGTCTGGGAAAGATCACTAATGTGTTATCCCAGAACAGGATCAGTCCTCCATCTTCCATCTGATCTATAGGAAGGGTCCTTCCTTGGGCTCCAGGGAAACCCAGATCTCTAGCATGATGCTTTGAGTGGCACCTGAGTAGAAAACTATGCCTTTTGCAGGGTAGCTTGATCAGCTGAACCCCACAGTATATCCCAGCATAGCGATGAATCCAGTTTACAACCATAGAGATTAATCCAGTTTATGAGGGAGATCAAACACCCTCTGCCTCTTTCACTCCCTGTGACTATTCCAAAGTAGATTTCAACAACACTTTAAGACAAAACCCTCTATTGTTATTGTCTAATTCTGATGACTATACTGGCACAGATCATAGCTTTTAGCTTGCTTTTTGCCAGTGGGAATCTTCATGCTGATGGTGGGCAGTTAGCCCAGGGAGCATGTGGAGTGTATGACATCACGTCACAGCTCCAGAACCTCCACATGGCTCTGCCCAAAATCTGATCCTCTTCCCATTTGATCCAGCTGATGATTTTACGTGATGCAATGTCCCAAAGCCAAAAGCACCAGCATTCTACTAGATGCTGCTTTTTAAAAGCTTTGTCTGGTTAATGTAACTTGCTGTTAAGGAAGTGAGCTGAAAAGTATCTGTATTTTAAAAAATTGCAAAAGCAGGACATGTTTGAATTGGCCATTTTGCCTTGACAAAACCTTGGACTATGAACTCTAGGAACCGTTTCTGACATACAGAAGTGCAGTTCAGTGGACGCTTTTACAGCTTTACAGACTCAAACAAATAACACTGCTGCAGTCTGTACAAAATTGTAAAGAACTTAAAACCGATGATCACTGGTGTTTTCTTTTTCTTCCCCTTTTAAATATAAGCAAATCAGGAGCAACAGAAGTGAAACTAGCAGTCTTGAGATATGTAAAGGGAGGAGGCTAGTGAAAAGTCATTCCTTTACTGGGGATTTTGTCTTTCCAAATCTGCATAAACAACAGAGGTACGTAACAGTCTCATAACCATTTTATGGCCACTAGGGAATTATTTCAGAGGTGGAAGCTGCTTTCTCAGCCTGTTGGTTAAGAGCAAAACTAATTTAATTTTGTATATGGTACTGATTAGGTGAGATTAGCCTGACCCTGGGATGGGGAAGGAGGAGCAAAAGAGAGTCTTTCAAAGCTCTGTCCCTGCTAGAGGTGAGGCCCTACCAAAAGCCATAAATGAACTCACTCATGGGAATGTGGGGACCAGACAGGATCTCATGATTTGTTTCAGATCAGTGTTATCCCTTGAAAAAGACCTTGATGAAAATGAGAGCATGAATTGTATTCTCAGTGTGGCTTTTAAAGAAAAGCATGCAAAAAAAGGAAAAAAAGTCTCAAAAAGCCCCATATGTTGTTTCCCATTATATTCCTTTCAGAGTAAAAAAGGCAGCCAAAATGGTGACTTAACAAAAGAAAGAATCAGTCAAACAGAGCCAAACTGAGCCAAAAGTCAGATCTAAAGTAAAAAGGAGACTATAGGGGCAATATTTTTTAATGATGCAGAAAGTCAAATGTCAGAAGGGAATGTTTTATTAGTGCATCTGAAGGGCTGGAGAGCTGATGAGCTTGTCTGTCCACCTGAATTCTTGTATGGAAATGCCCTAAAGGGAAGGCACAGAAATGAGAAGATGCACAGTTTGAAAGCGACCGCAGGGTCCCGTCTAGTCCATCTCTCTGCTTTTGGTAGGATCTTTCATGCATCTCATTAAAAGTACGGCAGTAGACCGTGAGAGTATCCATAATGTGGGGCATGGGAGTTTCCTGGTGCACCCAGCAGCCTTGGACCCACAGCCTGGTCAGGTCCTGGCTGCATCGCTGGACAAGAAACAAGGATGACATCTCATTTCCCTGTGGAAAGAACCCCAGGTGTGAGTGTAGGGAAGAAGTTGTTATGAGTCCCAGTACATTCTCCCAGTGTAAGCAATCCAGAGATTAGGGAAGTCAGTACTGGTCCGTCTTCGTCTTTTACTAAGCTACATGGTTGCCTCTTTGTGGTGCTGCTCAAGAAGGGACAAATTGCAGAGATGAGCGTTACACTCTTTCTGAAACTGTGAGCATGCCAATCATGCTCCTCCTCAGAAGAACATTTCATCATGTCTAGACACAGCTGCTCTGAAAGTATGATCCTGCATTCACAAATATTCCTTATGAATTGGCAGTTTTGCTGCTGCAGCTGTGGGACTTCATGAGTGTCAAGAACCTTGCAAAATAGATAAAATCTGACTATATTGAGAACAGTGTCCTTGAACTGATCTGTATATATTAGAGGTTTGGGCATTGCAATTGTAGTGAACACACCCCTGCTTGCTCAGGGAGAAAATGCATGAAGAATAAAATTGTGGTTGTAGAGCTGAACGAGAAGGTGAAACAGAAGTTACTTAATGCAGGAGGAGAAGATACTTTTCCATCTTCCATAGTTACTAGCACTGTGTTGAAAATGATTCAGAAAAGGGTGAGAAAACAGTATCAGGCAGGTTTCACTATTTAAAACCTATTACAAAGTTGTAATTGCACTATAGGTATTAACAGGATCACCATGTGTGTAGGGTTATAACCTAGCAGATTATATCTATGAGGCTACCAGAGTGCTGACATGTAAATCCCAGAAGGGTGGAAAAGGTGTCCTCCTTACCTTTTCCAAACTGGTTACCAACAATATCAAACGCCTGCAGCTGCATATTAACAAAGAGTAGCTGGAAGTTCTTCTCCAAATTGAAGGTTTGCTTGCTGGCACACTTAAAGGAATTCCCCAGCTTTGTTGTAAACATCTTCTCTTGTATAGCTCCATAGTAAAGCATACCTGGAGGCCATAAAGACAGATAAAATGAGAACCCACACCAACTATTGGAACCCACATCTTTCTGAGATAAAATGGAGGATCCATGGTGCTTTGGTAGAGCAGCAGTCACAGATGTGACTAAAGCATGGACCCTTCCCCCCTAAAGTATCAGTTACATTTCTTCCATGTTTAAATGAGTCCAATTCAGCTGAGCTTGGGTCTGAAAAGGTGGCTAAAATTCCAGATGCTTTTTCAAATCATATTTTAACAACTTGAGTCTGCAAGAAGGGGTTAGGATTCTCACAGGAACAGACATCTGTCTTAGGTCTCCAGCACAGCTATTTCCAGACAAAACAGAGATACCATCTCTCTCTATATATATCATGTATAGCATGGGAATACCTAGTCTGTATTGCTTTATGCATTAAATATGTTTTTAAACGTATTCCCATGTCACAGTACTTTATGGAAATACCGCTCAAATTAAATGCATGAAAAGATCTCTAACCTAGGCATATCCTTTATGCATATCCTCCTTTATAAGCAGATATACCAGTTTAAAGCAAAATCATCCACATTACCAACTCTGCATCACTGTATCTCAAGCAAAACTGCTGGCATAACAGCATGCAGCATACTTCTTGGTCCCCTTCAGTCAAAATCAGTACACCAGTGTGTACTGATACAGATAGTTCAGTGATTTTTATCCCTGAAAAGATATGGGTTTCCTCAGCGCAAAACGCTGGCGGTGTTCAAGATCAGATTGGACGAAGCCTTGGGTGAGATGGTTTAGTGTGAGATGTCCCTGCCCATGGCAGGGGGGTTGGAACTGTATGATCTTAAGGTCCTTTCCAACCCTAACTATTCTATGATTCTAAAAGGACTGCTGGTGGTCTGTGAAATGGCAGCATCTGGCAGAGAGGCAGTAACAAGCAGGCAGGGATAGCAGTGGTTCTTGCCAGCACCACTGGGAGGACTCAAAGTATATTTGAAGATTTTAAAACTTATGATTAAGTGGATTAGTTTGTATTTGCTGCAGTTTGCACTTAGCGATGCACAGGAAAACTGATCATTTAGACTGAGAACATCCCTAGGAGGCATGTCATCTGGATCAGCTTTGCTTTTACTTTAATTGCTGTAGATTAGAATAGGCTCCACTTGAGTTAATAGAAATACTCATCAGTGAGAAGAAAACTAGGCACTGAGCTTCCAAAAGCTCAGTGCTATTAGGACACACCTGCTCAAGCTCCTGATTTGCCTTTTTTCTTTCAGGGACAAAAGTCAATCCAAATACTTATGAGTAACAAATGGAGAAGTGACATAACATAGTTGTTAACCTGTCACAGATTTGAAATATTTGGAAGAACTTGTGCAAAATTAATGTCAGATAAAATTTGAAGTGATGGCTTAGAATTTTTCTCTCTGACCTAAACAATGTTCTCTTAGCAGTTCTTGGTATGTCACATCTGGAGCAGCTCCTGACTGTTCAAATGATGAGAAGCAGGGTTGTATCAGAAAAAAGAAAGAAAGAGAAGAGCACAGACAAGGTCTAAGACTTCAGGATGAAGAATCTCACCCTGGGTCCAGTTCTCATTTCTACAAAATCAAGACAAGCCTCCTCTTGATACTGGTGTATTTGAAATCTGGATCCAGCTCTGCATTTCTGTTATCCAGATACTGTATTCATTTAGTACGCTTATTAGATTGGAAAGATGCATCCAGCCAAACTGGAGTCACAGCATTTTTGTGGTTTTGAGGGCTGTTTTATATATTAAATTTAGGTTTCAAGTAATCTCTATTCAGAGAGAGGTGGGGCAGGGACAGTTTTGAGGACAAAAGGAAAATTGAACAATTCTGATAACACTGCATCCTAGTTCCTTCTCTTGCATTTTCATACCATAAGATTTAGATGAATGACATGTTGAAAGCCTGATAAAAAACGTAATTTGCAAAAATCCAGTGTTTTAAAGATATAAAAGCCTATCTCACACCCAGAAGAGTTTAATATGAAATTAAGACAATGCAAAAATCACTAACCTTCAGAAGATGACTGTAACCTGGTCTCAATTTTACTGACATAGTAGCTTGGAGCTTGCTGCAAAAGAAGGTGTATCTTTATTCACAATACGTCCTCATATTTGTGGGGGAAAAAAAAAAAAATGCAGTTCACCACACCAAAATGGTCACAAAGTGTTTCCCAAAGAAACACATTTTTAAGCTCCACCTTTAGGACCCAAAACCCAACATGCCTGGATGTATTGTTTTTTTGTTTCCAGGTAACTCCATCTAAAAGCTAAGAAGCTGGTGTCATGCATCCACTTCAGCTACATCACCACCTCTGCCCAGTTCAGTGAAACTGAACCATACAGGTGTAGTTTACACAGACTACTAAAGCTAGATATTTGTGTGACGCTTGTGGCAACCAAAAGTAAGAGGGAGTTAAACAAATAGTATACATTGCACAAATTAACAGGCATGTTATAAGGACATTTTATTTTTATTTGCCTGTTCTGCTTTACTGAGAGTCACTACAGTGGTCTCCTGAGCGATCCTGCACTGAATGAATCCATGCTGACCCGCAGTCTGACTGCTTGCAGGATTTAAGCCTGCACCTTCAGAAGGACTTGGGACTCCCAGTGCTGCAGAGCACTTTATGCATAGATGCCCTTTGCATGAGCAAACTGCAGAAAGCAAAAGAGCTTCTGTGTTCTCAGTAATACTCCTACTTAAAGGAATAAAAAGGTGAGGTTAAATATTACCCCTTTTTTGGTGGCAGCTCTAAGTTCTGTTTGGCCACAGTTAGTAACTTGGCTTGGGGAAAACACCTGCTCCTACTTCATGTCTTGTGGGCTGGTTACAAAACTTCCTTTTTTCAAGTTCTTTGCAAAAGGCAGCTGCAGTGGTGAGTACTGAGCCAGCCTCCCACCTCCTGCTACCCTGCACCAGCACCCCAGCCCTGTGGCCTGATCCAGCTCCTCTTTCACCTATGAAAATCAGAAGTGCCACCATGGGAGCACTCCTGGTTCAAAGCAGTTAGAGAGGCTGCGGAGGCCAAACACATAAAAACCAGCAGCAAAATGATTTCATATTAACTTGACTTTCAAAGAAGTTTGAGGCGAGCCCTGCTTTTCTCTTGAGGCTTATCTTTAAGTGAAGGGCGGATTGTCTAATTCTGTGCCAACAACCACCTTTTTCAGGGCAACACAGGTCAAGTATCTCCTAAAGGTTCATGTCACTCTCCTTAGCTCTGCTGCAAGCTGGGGCTTTCATGGGTACTTGAATCATCGGACTTTTTCTAAGGATCCTTGTAACGCAGAAAATGCTCACCTTGTTGCAGGAAGCATACATTTAAAGCAAACACTTACAGTCTGAACTGAGCCTTTGTTTTAAAACAGCTCCTGGATTTTTTACCTTACTTTTCCTTTGTAGCTTTTAGAAAACACTCTGCCATAAACTAAAATCAAGACGATTGTTAATTGAAGTCTTTTCTCAAGCATTAATGACTCAGGAGTGGTACAATTTGCTGTTGTCTCTTGGACTTTCTGTGGAAAAGACTAATTAAGTGCTTGTACTTAATTGTGATTAATTTGGGCTTGGAACCAGGCTGTAACATTGACATTTTGGCTTGATTAATTGAAGGACACAGATCAGCACTGATGGCCAAATTACAGCTCTGAACCCCTATGGAGCTCCAGAACATGGCCTTAATGCGTCACAGAATCACAGAATCCCAAGGGTTGGAAGGGACCTCAAAAGATCATCTAGTCCAACCCCCCTGCAAGAGCAGGGCAACCTAGAGTACATCACACAGGAACTTGTCCAGGCAGGCCTTGAATATCTCCAATGTAGGAGACTCCACAACCCCCCTGGGCAACCTGTTCCAGTGCTCTGTCACTCTCACGGTAAAGAAACTTTTCCTGATGTTCACATGGAACCTCCTATGCTCCAGTTTACACCCATTGCCCCTTGTCCTATCACTGGACATCACTGAAAAAAACCTAGCTCCATCATCCTGACACTCACCCTTTACATATCTGTAAACATTGATGAGGTCACCCCTCAGTCTCCTCTTCTCCAAGCTAAAGAGTCCCAGCTCCCTCAGCCTCTCCTCATAAGGGAGATGTTCCATTCCCTTAATCATCTTTGTAGCTCTGCGCTGGACTCTTTCAAGCAATTCCCTGTCCTTCTTGAACTGAGGGGCCCAGAACTGGACACAATATTCCAGACGCGGCCTCACCAAGGCAGAGTAGAGGGGGAGGAGAACCTCTCTTGACCTACTAAGCACACCCTTTCTAATGCACCCTAGGATGCCATTGGCCTTCTTGGCCACAAGGGCATATTGCTGGCTCATGGTCATCCTCCTATCCACCAGGACCCCCAGGTCCCTTTCCCCTTGACTACTGTCCAGCAGGTCAGCCCCCAACCTGTACTGGTACATGGGGTTGTTCTTCCCCAGATGCAAGACTCTACACTTGCCCTTGTTGAATTTCATCAAGTTTCTACCCGCCCAACTCTCCAGCCTGTCCAGGTCTCACTGAATTTGCCATCCTCCAAACCTCAGGTACCTCTCCTGTTTCCCACGGCTTACCAAAGATGATGGAGAGTGGCTCAGCAATGACCTCCGCCAGCTCCCTCAGCACCCGCGGGTGTATTCCATCCAGACCCATCGATTTATAGATGTCCAGATTGCTTAACTGATCCCTAACCCAATCCTCATCTACCAAAGCGAACTCCTCCTTTATCCTGACTCCTTCTGGAGCTATAGGAATCTGGGTCCCCTGGGGAGAGTCTGCAGGAGTAAACACAGAGGCATAGAAGGCATTCAGCACCTCTGCCTTCTTTATATCCTCTGTCTCCAGGGCACCCACCTCGTTCAGCAGTGGGCCTATATTGCCTCTTGTGTTAGTTTTATCCACTATGTATTTGAAGAAGCCCTTTCTATGGTCCTTAACCCGACTCGCAAGATTAAGTTCCAAAGAGGTCTTAGCTCTCCTAATTGCCTCCCTACATTCTCTAACAACTGTCCTATATTCCTCCCAAGTGGCCAGCCCCTCCTTCCACAATCCATAGATCCTCTTTTTCCGCATGAGTTTGCCCAGCAGTTCCTTGTTTAACCATGCTGGTCTCCTGGCTCCCCTATTTGACTTCCTACCCATTGGGATACTCTGATCCTGAGCTTGGAAGAAGTGGTCCTTGAATGCTGACCAACTATCTTGAGCCCCTTTACCACCTAGTACCCTTTCCCGCAAGACTTCCCTTAGCAATTAATTGAAGAGGCCAAAGTTGGCCCTTCGGAAATCCAGAACTGTGGCCTTGCTAGGTATTCTATTCCTCCCACACAGGATCCTAAACTCCACCATCCAGGAGTGGCATTGATCCTAAACTCCACCATCCAGGCTGCCATTGACCATCACCGCTTCAACCAGACCCTCCTTGTTGGTGAGTACTAGATCTAGCAGCGCTCCTCTCCTAGTTGGTTTGTCCACCATTTGCATTAAGAAGTTATCAGCAATGCACTGGAGGAACCTCCTAGACTGTGAATGATTGGCTGTGCAAGTCTTCCAGCAAATATCGGGGTAGTTAAAATCCCCCATGAGGACCAAGGCATGTAGTTGTGAGGCTGCTTTCAATTGCCTGTAGAAAGCCTCATCAACTCCTTCGTCGTGATCAGGAGGTCTACAATAGACCCCCACAGCTGTATCACCCGTACCAGCCTGTCCCTTAATTCGTACTCACAGACTTCCCACTTGCTCCTCATCTGCCCCTGGACAGAACTCAATACATTCTAGTCTCTCTCTCACATAAAGAGCAACTCCACCACCTCGCTTTGCTGACCTATCTTTCCTAAAAAGGACACAGTCATCCATGACCACATTCCAGTCATGTGAGCTGTCCCACCATGTCTCTGTAATTGCCACCAGATCATAACCTTTAGACCGCACACAGACTTCCAACTCCTCCTGTTTATTCCCCATGCTGCGTGCATTGGTGTACAGGTATTTCAGGGAGCGAGCTGAGCACGCTACTGGCACCCTTGGGAGGCAGGAGGCCTTCTGGTCTTCATTAATACTAGAACAATGCCCCACTGGTTCAAACCCAGCTACACCCCCCTAGCACTTTGAATCTAACCTAGAGCTCTGTGAGTGAGCTCTGCTAACTCTTGCCCTGGTACCCTTTTTCCCCTGAGGAGCAGGATCTAAACAACTACCCTTTCCCTCAAATGAAACAATAGATTGAGAGTCCTCCCTAGTCCGCCATCCTTCAAGCCCTAGCATGTTTCTCTTGGGCTCGTCCCTAACAGGCCCAGTTATCTCTCCTTCCCCCTTCCTACCTAGTTTAAAGCTCTGTCAATGAGCCCTGCTAACTCCTGCCTCAAAAACCTTTTCCCCCTCTGGGACTGGTGTATCCCACCTGCCACCAGCAAACCAGGTGTCTCATATAGCAGCCCATGACTGAAAAACCCAAAACCCTGCCTTTGGCACCAGTCACGCAGCCATACATTAATCTGCAGACTCTTCCTATTTATCTCTTTACCCTTGCTTGTAACAGGCATGGAGGCAAACACCACCTGCACTCCAGACCCTCTAACCAGCTGTCCCAGGGCCCTGAAGTCTCTCTTCATCACCCTTGCCCTCCTTGTAATAATGTCATCACTGCCAACCTGAAAAACCAGCAGCGGATAGTAGTCAGAGGGCTGCACCAGATCAGAGCTTCCTTTTAACATCTCTAATCTGAGCCCCAGGTAGGCAGCAGACTTCCCTGTGGGATGGATCTGGTCGACAAATGGGCCCTTCTGTTCCCCTCAGAAGGGAGTCACCCACCACAATTACTCTTCTTTTCTTCTTGGTTGAGGAAGTTCTAAGGCATGGGGGTGAGTGACAAGCCCTAGGTGACTCACTAGATGGATCTACCCCTCCATCTCCATTTACCTGGCCCTGTAGTTCCAAGACCTCGTACCTGTTATTCAAAGGCAACTGGGAGGGAGAAAGGGATTGCGAGAGTAATGCATGTAACGTTCATTCAGAGTTTGATGGGATCCAAACCACACTGTATTCCTCCCTGCCCATTAATAACTTTATACATAGTATTAATTTCTGTTGTTAGCTCTGCTGGCATTACCACCCAGCCATATTAGCTTTCAGATAAATAGTACTGCACACTGCCTCCCAGAATGTGTAAACAATGCAAATGTCTGAGGAAGCAAGAGTATGGCTGCACTCAGCCATTTTCTCCTGTGGTTACCACAATAGCACCAGCACTTTTGGTAGCTTATGTTAAAGCCTCATCCACGTATGATGCAGTCCCATTGGGAACATGGTATCAACAGACACAATGTCAAAAACAAAGCTCGTTTTCCTGCCATGTAAGTACGGCCTCTCTCTTGCCCAAGTTTCTCTGTGCACTTATAAGTCTCCTTGGTGTGGTACATTTTAAGGGCACTTACCTACAATTTTGCTGTTGTAGTTCACTTGTTTGGAATTTTCCACTGAGTAATTAGACAAAATTAGTCCCTTTCAGCTGTGGATGGGCTGTGGCTCCTTGACACTTACAACGGCACAGACTGCCCTTTCAATTTAACAACCACAGTTGGCTTTTGGCTATGCAGATGTGATACTTGGCGTTTATGGGAAGCAAACGACTAACCTCACCTGTATTCAAGTGGTCCTTGAGACACCATTTTAGAGGAGCAATTTGATAGTTTGAGTCAGAGTTCCCAGCACACATACCTTAGTCATCTGCAGGGACTACAGTCCCAAACCTGTTCCCTCTGTTTTGCTCCAATTCAAACAGCACTTTCTATCAGAGAATGGCAAGGCACTGTACTTACCCTTCATTGCATGTATGAACCTTTCCAAATTGAAAGTTCAACTAGATGAGACATGATTTAACATTGAAGTTAGCCCTGCTCTGAGCAGGGGGTTGGACTAAGTGGCCTCCAAAAGTATTTTCCAACCTGAATTACTCTGTGGTTCTGTGACTCTAGCCTCTTGGGAAGGACAGGAATAATAGTGCCTTATATACAGGTCAAAACTAGCATAGAGACAGATGAAATGCCTTTCACACAGTGCAAACTGGTTTAAAGGCAGTCTAAACTCCACCTTACCAGTCCTAAACACTCCATCTCTCTAAATGCAACAATTACCTTTACAAAGGTGAAGTTTACAAACCCTCCACTGAAAGTTATGTTCAGCTCAGACTGCACCATTCCACAGCTTCCAAATGTCTGTGTCACATTGGGGTTGACAGTCATGTACTCCATCTGCTTCTGTGGAGAGAAGAGACATTGCAGGGCTGCTGATGAAAAGGAGAAGGGAAGATTAATAAGAAAAAGATACTTATAGCTGCATTTTTTTTTCCCCCAGACAGGCTCTGGGGTTGAATGAACAGGCCAGTGGTGGTAGCAGCTTAATTGCTGTCTGCCAGGGTTGTTCCCTGCTCCTGAGCCAGCACTAGTACTTGTCTGACACATCACCAACCTGTTCCAGTGTGTAAGACAGCAGAAACTAATAGTTTTCTGCTCATTCAGTGAACTGATACAATTCAGAGCAGAATTAGGTGAGTACCAGTGGTAATTTAAAGAGGGGGAGAAGTAGGAAATTGTGCCTGAAGGCAGAGGAAAGATCAAGACAGTGGCAGATAAGGGTTTAATTGCCTTTGACATGTGCTGCTCCTTATATCACTCTAGCCTCTTATGTCCTGCATAGTTCATCTCTAGCACCTATCAATCCACACTGTAGTCTGAAAGGAAAGCTCTGCAGCCCTGAATACAGTTTGGCTCCTTCAGTCTCATCTCAAACACACATTACTTTTGTAATAAGCATCTCACCATGGTCTGGTGAGGTTGGGAATCACGCTTTCCTTCTGGCTACTGTCATGAAGAGGGATGAAGAATACTTTTACCAGTATTAGATATGTAAGAAACTTTCAAACCCCAAATATGTAATGGGTTTGGCCCAAGGCATATGAAGTTCAGAGCCTGAGCCTGTAACCCCACATATTGTATTAATGGAGGCTACAAAACTAAAGTCTGACTGACATAATCACACTTTCAGGTTTTATGACATCTTTTGCTGGACTATTCATGCCATTCACCACAGCTAAGAGAAGGTACCAGCTGCCCAGCACCCTGCTCCGGTCCAGCCTGGCAGTTCCTGTGATCCTAAAATCTTCATGTGTCAGTACCAGGGCAACCCATCCCTGGATCCAAGTCTGTGAACTGATAATTTCTTGCTTTCATTGCAACTCACAATGTCAAGCCCTTCACTGAAGTCAACTCAGATTTTAACTAGTCTCCCATTCTAGAAAACACAAATAATAGAAGGCTGATCTACTCTCCCAGTACTGCTACTGCACATACATCAGTGAAAGAAGAAAGCACCCATATGACCCACTGATATCATCATACAAGCCAAAGTGCAGCAACCAAGATTCTGTGGCACAGAAAGGCCTTAGACTGGTAGCAAACCACTTATTTTTATCATACAAGCTACCTCCTGAAAATTGCTTTGAAAAGAATCAATTCCAGCTAATGAAGAAACTTTGTAATTAAGTCATCACAAAGCTCAGCCTTGTGCTTCCACCTCACCTTCTGTGCATTTTGAGCCATCAGCTGCAAACCCATGACTGCTTTGATGCAGGTCCTGTTCCCACTGGAAACGGTGTATATGCCAGTGGGGATGGGAGAAGGCTGAGGTGCAAGAGTGGGTCTTGTTGTCATCATAGTAGATGGGATGGCTGTTCGAGTCCCTGGATGAATGGTTGTTGCATTTGTCATGGCTGGGGCTATTGAACTTTCAGGTAGCGTTGTTTGATTTCCAGATCCTGTGGTGGGCTTTACAGTTTGCATGGTGGCTGCTGTAGTATTTATGGCAATAGCTGTCGTTTGTGTATTTGGTGGTGTATGTTTTATGGTTGTGTTTGTGGCTGATGCTGTTATTTCTGTGCTCACACATGCTCTGTCTTGCTTGGTGGAGGACACAGGGTGTGTGGTTGCATTCTTCACAAGTGTAACCGTTTCCATTGCCTGGGTTGTAGTCTGACCAGCTGCAGTTGTGTTGTCTGCTGATACTGTGGTTACCACCATGGGAGATTTCTGGCTGATCACTTGAGTGGTGGTTGCTGCTGCCTGGTCTGTTGTGTGATGGCCTGGTGCTGTTGTTACCTGGCGCTGGTCTGTTGATTGCACAGTTGTTCTCATGGATGTTGTTTTAAGAGAGCCTGCGCTGTTAAAACGAACTGTGGTACCTTGATGGGATGACGAATGATGACGGGGGTGTGGCTGAGAAGTAGCTGTATGTGGGAAGGATACTGTTTCTGGAGACACCTTGACCCCTAAGGCCACTTCAGCAAAGCAGGAGGAAAATGCTGCAAAGAAACAAATAAGTCAGTAGTCTGAAAGCCTTTATGTTTAACGTTTCTGCTGATACCTACAACATAATTGCATTGAATTTTCTATCAAATGGCCAATATGATTTAATTCTTCATTTGGCTCCAGTCATGATAGGAGAGTAAAAGCAGACATGCTGCAGGACTATCTGTAACTTTTCACCACTCTCCCAATCTTCACACCTCTGAATAAACCCACTGCAGTGAAGCACATTGGCTCCCAGGTCCCTGCATTACTGTTACGGCTGAAGAAGCCAAAAGATGCCAGAGGTGTGAGCAGACCTTGCACAATCCCCAGACAGCACAAGAATTCTCTTGAAGGCAGTAGTATAGCAAGATTTGCTAGAAGCAAATTATTAGGACCTAAGGCAGATGAAGTGTGTGTAACAGGGGAAATGGTGGTGGGTTACTTACCAACAAAGCATGGGGAAACGGGACATTTATGCATGAAGGAAGTGAGGCAGTGTAATGGCCTTACAGCGATTCACAACTGGTCTGGGAAACTGGTCTGGGAGACAAGGAAAGTCCAGATATTTATTTATGGTTTTGCTGTAGCCAGGCCAGCTTGAACCCCGAAGTTCTTCCTCCAGGAGGTATCCAAGAGGATGCTCCAAACAAGGAAAGACTTTTTAGTGATGGGCTTTCAGCAGTGAGAAACACATTTCAGGGTCCAGCATCCAGGGGCATTTGGACCACATCTGGAAATAGTCACAGCACTAAAATTACACTTCCATCTTATACCATTTACAGAAACATGTCCCTTGCAGAGCTGAAAAGAAAGTATCTGGCTCCTAAATAACAAAGTGAAGAAAAATTGGGAAAAGTACATTGAAGAGTAGATGAAGGTCACAACTCTTCTGCTTGAGCCTGTCATTATAAATATGCAAGAAGACCCTGTAAAGACAAGGTCAAGCTAAAAGAAATCACAAATCACTGATTTATATGAATTCGCTGATGTGCATGAAGCTTCAGGTGTAGTTAAATGCTTTTCTAAATTAGCTTGAGGACAGAGCTGAATTCTCTCTTTTTGAGAGAGAAGGGACCTGTGCTGTAACAAACTTGACTGCCAGTGTAGCTGCTATCATCAAAGAAGTGCAACTTGATAACAGTTGAAAAGACACAAAAATAACAGGACAGATTCCCCTGATTGCAAATTTTATCAGAAGGAACCTAAAAATGCCATAATTAATATGATACTTTAGTTCTTTTTCTCACTTTCCTTTAGTCTTTACCACATCTTATGGCAGAGCTGAAATGCAGGTAAATTCTCTCTTTCTCTGTGTGCTGGTGGAAAACCAGAGCAGTTGCCGTATACCAGCCATAGGTAGCCTCAGCTAAATGTGTTACTCCAATAAAAACAAAAAAGAAGTTGCCATTTTCACCTTTTTTTTTTTCCCTGTAAGACTGCACAATAAACTACCTTTAAATTTACACGTCTTAAATAGTCAGTACTTCTTAGCTTTTTACTCAACAGATCGGTTTTGATTACTGACCAGATAACACTTATCTTAGAGACAGGGAGAGAAACATTATTTCACTGACATTTGGATGCTAGCCACAGCTTTTAAATGAAACTTTATACTCCCCAAAAGATCATTTCAACCTAACTAGTTTTCATTACAGAAACATTCAGCCTGATAGGGTCACTGAGGACTAAAGTCAGAAACGTCTTTGGAGTGGCCTATAGCTCATGGTCACCAGGTGACCTGCCAGCTCCTCCAGCCCCCCACAGCTCTCTCAGGCATTTGAAGTTTCTGTCAGGGCACAGTCACACTGCTAAACCTGTTGGCCTGGGTCATCTTCTCAAGAGGCATTCAGCCACACGAGCTCCCAGGGATAGGTAAGAATTGTTGACTGTTCTCTGGTTGCACCTAATGATCTTTGCTCTTCCTGGGTAGCTGTTGGAGGTAGTTGAGTAGCTCTGCTGAGTGAAGGGGCAGGTGGGCCTATGGGATCCCATTCCTACCCTCCTGATAAGGTCTGAAAGGTTTCACCATGGCTCCCTCATCATTGTAGCATTGCATCTCAGGAAGCCTGGAACATCTCAGAGAAGGAGCCACCTGAACAGCTCTTCATACCCAGCCTGTTTCACAGCTCTGCCATTAAAGAACAACAAATACTGGCAGCTCTGCATCCCAGATGCAGTTAATCTCCCCAGTTTGGTTTTGGTTTGCCTTTTTTTTTTATGAAGCCAGTTCAAAACGTCATACACCAAACATTTTGCTCAAGGGATGCATGCTCCCTGGGGTGTGTCTTCCTGGAGCAAGCTGCAATCTCCTCATCACACCTTGGCTTCAAAGTTGTAAGCTACAAATGCCGAGGGCTGTGTTTCTGCCCAGCAAGTCTCTTTGCATGTGATGCTCCAGAATAAGCCCCTCAGAAAAGGATTGGAGATTCACTGTTTCCAGTCTGTGCCTGGAGCCCTCATTTTTGTGCTCTGGTGAAAAATTGTAGTCAATGCCAGCAAAGGAATAACGGTGCTCTGCTCCCAGGCATTCAATGGAAAGTGGAGCACTCAATGCCATGATCTGGCTGTGACATTTCTCAGCCTGCTGTCCTGTAACGGAGTGGATGAAAAAAAATCACTGAGGGCTTTTTCCCCTTCTTCTTTAACCGCACACTCATGCTGCTCAGCCACCCAGCGGGTTTGTTCTGCTTTATGCTGCCCAGAAGGAATGCCCGTGTTTAGCTGGCTGGTTCTGTGTGGACACAAAAACCTGACCCAGCTCCTACAATCACTGAAAACACTCTCACCAGCACAATCTGCTTTGATCTGAGTCCCTGAGGAACTGAAAAAGCCCCAAGATTTCCTGAGAGGTTTCAGTACTGTCACAGTTTCCCTTTAACATGGGAGCCATTTCTTAAGCATCCAACCCATTAGACCTTTATCCTTTAAACTCTGACTATGTGTAATTCCCTACCTGCACAGAAAGGCTTGACTTTGTGGCATTAATAAACCTTTATAAGGAATGACCAAAAATGGATAAGGAGCTGAGGAAACAAACTCTTTCTGCCCTTTCTGGTCAAAAAGGTCCTTGTTGACACTAAGTTATTAGTGTTGCTTCCTTAGTCTGATTCTTGCTCTCCTTTCATGTATATGTTTGGAAGCTACTTCAACAGACTCTGACTGCGGGAAAGCAGAGCCGATAACAGCGTGAGATGCTTATGGTTGAGCCCCTGAGCTTTTTCCCTGTTCACTTCACTGGGAGGGGGACAGAAGTTGTTACTTGTTTGATCCCTGTGTGCCAATGGCAAAGCCCACTGCAGAAATCCAGTGCCCCACCAGTGAGCTCAAACCTTTAGCCATTACACAGATTAAGTCAAACTCTTTCTCAATCTGGCAGATTTTGTACTGCTGCGGGTGCTGAGGGATGACTTCACATGCTGGGTCACATCCTTTGTCAGGCTGGCTCCACAGATTCACAGAGCAGCACTAAGGATTGGAGGGTGACTGTGATGTGGTTTGTCACTGAAATAAGCCCCAGCCTGCCTTTTCCAAGCCTCTACCTCACTCTTGCTTTCCTGATCATGCTGTCCATCTTGCAATGCAGTCAAATTACTCAAGCAGCGCTTCCTTAGTTCTTATTCTGCTTGTCAGTTCTGCTGGTCTGGAAATAATTTTTAATTAAGAAAAGCAAGCCCAAAAAAGTCTGCTTCTAATACTATTTTGAACTCACTCCATCACACGGTCAGAGTTCATCACCACAGACTGCAAGGGAAAATTCACAGGAAAATATCAGCTCAACTATATCAGCTGCAATGAAATCTATTTCTACTTATTTCTTAGCAGTGGGACTTTACTAAAAGCCCTTAGTGCTAGCAACAAAACTATTTAAATTTTTCAGTCTGTTAGGTGCTGTCCTGACTGCAAGGAAACAAAGCCAGCATGGTCTACCTCATTTTCCTCATAGAAATGGTGGAGGATATTACTCACCACAGGTGAAGGCTAGCAAGATGAATTGCCATGTGCTCCTCCCCATGGCCAACAGGTTTGAGAGAGGCTGCTTCTCACTGTGGAGCAAATGGAAAGGAGATCAAGGTTTCCTGGGGACTGGAAAGTTTCACTTGGTGCAGGGAGTGCTCAGTCACATGGCTGGAAAGGAGGTGGGGAGAGAGGGGGAGACCGTGCCTCTCATCTGTAAACTACTGCAGAAGAAAATAAATTTGGTTAGTACAGGAAGTGAAAACAGAAGGGACTGCAGGGCTAGCTGCGGGGAGAACAGGCTCTCACTCTCCAGCTGAGAGCTGGGGCATTCTGCAAGCCACATAAAGCTTCATGCACCTCTCTCTGGTTTCATAACCAGGTGCAGACTGCAGCTGTGCCCCAGTGGAAGGATACAACCTGTAAATCAGTGATTTTCCTGTGTTCTTTTTAAAATGTACTTTCGTTAGGGCCAAATTTGTTCTTCTATATTAAGGCACAGAAGGGAGAGGTGTGATCCTGAGCCAACTCCACAGAGCACCTGCTAAAAGCAAGACAAGGCTGAGCAAAGCCCCAAACGCGCTTTGCCCATCTAGGGACTGTCAGCAGCCTTTGCTGTCTGGTTCAGCCCTGTTCCAGGAGCTAAGCTTGTAGAAGGTGGATCAGCTGTGGTGACTCACCATTAGTCTTGCATCCAAACACACTCCTTGGCAAATAGCAATGCCCCACCTATGACCCATGAAGTGCCCCCTGGAAACCACGCCAAGCTGGGACAGGCGCTGCACAGGCAGGTCCCAGCACGTGTGGCTGTGCACCAGAGATCTGCAGCCGGAGAATGTTACCCCCACTCATGTGTGTGGCTGGATTTCCAGCCCCCGTCTTTGCCATGGGGACTGCTTGGTGTGGGGAACTGCCCTGGGTTCAGCAGTAGCAGTCATTTTTTCTTCTTCTTAGTAGCTGGTGCAGTGCTGTGTTTTTGATTTTCAGCCTGGGAGCAGCGCTGATAACACCGATATTTTTAGTTGTTGCTTAGTCTGTTCCTTGTTTAGTCTGACCAGAGACTTTCTGAATCTCATGCTCTGCCAGGGAGGAGGGGAAGCCGGGAGGAAGCAGAGACAGGACACCTGACCCAAACTAGCCAAACAGGTACTCCATAACACAGCACGTCATGCCCAGGATGTAGAACTGGGGGCAGTTACCCGGAAGGGTTGATCACTGCTCAGTTGGGCTGCGTATTGGTCAGTGGGTGTTGAGCAGTTGTGTTCTCTTCCCTTTTTATTTGTTATTATTGGTGGTGGCAGCAGTGATTTGTGTTATACCTTAGTTACTGGACTGTTCTTAACCCGTGGGAGTTACATTCTTTTGATTCTCCTCCCTATCCCGCCGGGAGTAGGAGGAGGAAGGTGGGAGAGTTGAGAGAGAGGCTGCTTGGCTGGGCTTAAACCACGACAGGAACAGAGCAAGACCCACACATGGGATCTGGTGTGGTCCTAAGTCTTCATTTTCTCATACCAATATTGCACTGCAGTAACATGATACAGCCAATGACTCGAAAACTCAAGTGAACTGAAGTTTGCTCCCAGAAATCTGGGTATTGGATGACATTAGTTCCAATGTATTTTTCTATATTTGCATTATGGTTTTACATTCCCATTTTTACCTGCTTGTCCTTCTACATGATCCACAACATGCATTTGGGTCAACTAGCCTAATAAAATGCTGGTAGCCAAAGGTATGCAGAGATCTTGTAAGTTATCCTACAACTTCCTTGCCTTCTGGCTGCAGCATTAGCATGTGCAGCACTGAACTGTGTGAGCCTTTGCATTCTCCTAATAGTCTCAGGGATTCAGGAACATGACTAAGGGACATGGGTAACAGAAAAAAAACACTGTGCCTTTTGTGACATGTGTGTTGGACAAAGAAAGTTATACTGGACAGATGTGTGGATTTTTTTCAGCCATGATGATGTGCCTTTACTGACACTCCTTTATTTTGAGTAGAAAGCAAGCTCATGTGACTTTACTTCAGACAGAGACACCAACCACAACGTTTTGTACTAGTTATAATTTTTATAAATTTCAAAGTGTGGTTCTACACAGGTCAGAATGGCCTGGTTACAGGAAGTTCATTTGCACATTTTTTTCTTGTAATAAATTCATACATTCTGTCTTGACTGGGAAAAAAGAACAGGTAATTCTGTGCTCTTTCCCTGTCTGATTATCTCATCAGTCACAATATACAAATACATCATTATCAACACCATGAAAAGATGTAAGAAAAAAAAACACTTAGCTGGGGAGAAGAAATCTTAGCAGCTATTTCAGCTCCATCTGCAAGAAGAAATACACAATTTGGCTCTTTTTATTATTATTATTCTTATATATTTCTAATCATATACATATTTGAAGTTGAGTATTTCTGGAAAGGAAGTGCATGGCCTTCCTCATACCCAATCCTGTTTGAAATCTCAAGAGTCTAAGAAAATTACAAGTAATAAAATGGCTTTCCATCACATACACAACCAGAATATAAGACACACACACAGCTTTGTTGTCACTGGCAAGAAAAGCCAGCGTTCACATGTGGTTCGGCCGCAGCCATTTAGGATCAAGACAACGGCCATTGGTCTGATTCTTCACACAGTGGGGTTAGACGGGAGAGGAGGAGAGGGTCAGGCCTCATTATAGTTTAGCGTGGTTTACTAAAAGCAAGACCTGTGTATCATGGCAACTGCCCATCTACCTGTTTGTCATTACAGTACACAAGGAAAGAGTCTACACCCAGCTGAGCAGAGGCAGTTTTGAGGTTGTGAAGTTTTAAAAGTTTCAGAGAAGATGGCAGCAGAGCAGAGGAAGGAAATCCAAATCAAAACCTCAGCCCAGAGGGCAGGTGTCACTAGTCCAACCCAGAGAGAACAGCCAGACAGCAGGCACGAACTCACTGATCGAGCAGCAAGGGTACAATGCGCAATCATGAGTGCTGCTATAGCAGAGAGACACCTTGGACATTTTCTCTTCTACAACTGAAACTTAGTAGCAACCATTACTTTTAAATGACCTGTTCACTCTCTTCTTCGCCAAACACTGAAATGAAATCTATATTTGAAAACTATGACTTTTAGGTCTATTTACCTGAAAATTATGGTGTCAAAGACCTACATACAGAATAAGTATACCTTAATGCACACACTAGTCTTGCTAGACATCACTAAATCATATTCTAGGCTGTACATGAAGAGTCATTCCCTTAATTATCACCTCGTTTGACAGAAATACAGTCATTAAAAGACTACCCCATCTACTAATTAAAAGGAAAGAAAAAAAAATCAAACCCCATTTTGTCTCATCAGCAAAGCCACAGGGTTACTTCTTGTTGGCTGTTCTCAGACTTGTCAGCAGCCTGATCTGTCACAGAACTTCTCTCTTTAAAAACACAAAGCCAGCAGCGTGGCACTGTCTCACAGACATCTGCACCACAGGCATCAACCAGGCAAAGGGCCTGGGTTACTCCCCAGCAGCAGCTGCCACAGTTGCAGAATGGTCTGAGCTTGGAATTTGGAGACAGAAACAGGCAGAAACAGGTTTTGGCTCACTGGCACTGCAGGAAGGTTAAAGACACAACTAGTGATTGTGGGCTCCCTGCTCAGGTACAGTAGTGTACAAGGATAGCTGCGATACAACCCGCTCCCAAAGGCCACTGAGAGCCAGGGTGCTGTGTCACTGCTGCCCACGGCCATGGAGCAGTGAATTACTTGTTATCCTCAGGATATTCACGGTGCAGAAGTGACTCAAACTTTGGTCAAACAGGATAAAACATAAGACTGGGGGGGAGAGGGGGGAATACAATCCAACAAACCAAACCCCAAACTTTTCAAAAGCAAAGCAGGGAGGAAAATTGTTGTAATCCAGCCCATACCTTTGCAGTTGACATGACAAGATGGTGAGTTGGGTGACAGGATACATTTCTGTAGCAATCATCTTCCCTGTTCAAGCTCTAGGGTGCCTCACAGGATACCACTACTGACACTCATGGAGGGTACAGCAGGACACATGGGGTTGAATGTTTTGCTTTCCCCTGAAGGGTCCCCGATTTTTGAACACATGCTAAAATTTAGCATCATAATTCAATCAAACAGCTCCAATTTTTTTCCAGTTTTAGGAAGATATTGAGGCACCAGGGATACAGGACTAGCACACTGTCACCCTGCACACAACAGAGCTGGGAAATGGACCAGCAATACCTGATTTTCCATTTCCTACTCAAACAGAGCCTTCCCACTGCCATTTCACGTCATTAGAATGAGATTCCTGTAAAGAAACTCCAAAGTGCAGGTTTGCATCTTTCCATCTGTCAGCAATGTCACAAGTCCTATTTTTGGCAGTTTCATATATCCATGGTAACCCTTCCCTATCTTTCTCTCTCACATACATACACAAGCTTACTATATTTATCAATGTTCAATCAAAGCTCCCTACCCATTTCCTCTTCTATCAGGTCATGCAAAAATTACTCAAAGCGATACAGAAATCAAAATGAACTCATTTTGGGGAGATCATAAAGTAACTGCACTGCAAGAAAACATCACAGCGTATTTCCTTAGGGGACTGAAAAGAATCAATTCTTCCCTCGAGATGTTCATGACTACAGTAGACTAATAGGATTCATGTTCCTGAGAGGCCATGTGTCATTTTTAAGGTAAATAACCAGCACACAACAGACAAGCTTGTATGTCTGTAGGACAAAATTAGCTTCCAAAAGGGTACAGAACCCTCAGGTCCTTTAGTCATGAAAAAAATGTCAGAAATCACAGAATTTAGATATTGAGGGTTAGAAGAACCATGGGAATTAACCACCACAATACAACTCATAATTAACCAACAAGCCTTCACAGGCAAACAAAATCTGAGTAAGCCTTTACCTGCTGTAAGGCTTTTTCTTGAACGGGACTATCTGCCTTCTTCACAGCTATCCTGACTCATACACTAAGATATTTGTAATGCCAGCCTCCAGAGACACAAGGAAAAGCATTCAGGTCCCTGAAAAAATCATAGTAATGATACTGAGCCCTACAATTTGCTCAGAAGCTCAGATACTAAAGAGTGGGTTTTGGTTTTGCATCATCTCTATTTTTAGTGCTTTCGTCCCTCTTTGTTATTTACATACAGCACCATTAGTCTCAGTGTTAAACCAAAAATAACTAATAGTGAAAGCCAATCACTCACTCTTGAGCTTCTAGGGTAATTTTTACCAGGCTGATCTTTGCCTGTTTACAACCCTTAGTCAATACTTATCTTTACTAAAG